AAGTTTTGTGGCCTTTTAGAGAAGATGCACCGTCTCTGGTGACTACGTGAGGAAAGAAGGACAGGTCCAGTATTTATATACGAGACCTGCCTGCCAGTTGCAGCAGCTTAAGGAATACAAATTGATTACCTTTCTTTGACAAGAGAGGCCACTGTTGCCTGAGTGCACACGCACACCCAGGTGCCTCCACAGAGGAGGACACCCTCAACCATGAGATTCAGATCTTTCATGTGCCTTTGGCCAGGCTGGGCTGCGACCCTAAATTCCCCGCCGGTGGACAACACACGAGGACTCCCTCTGCGTATAAGAGACCCAATCTGTTCTCGCTCCCTCTTGGCGACCTTCCTCCGCTCCTTCCCTGGATCCACCCTGGTCTCACTCACCCGCTGATGATCTCCTTGTTCTCAGCTCGGATGAAGTGCTCCTTTTCGGGCGTCAAGATACAGAGGGAGAACTTCTGCCCGGTCCGGCTTTCCCCGTCTACAACGTCCGTACACTGGTTCATGTTGATGGTTCCCTGCGGCAAGGTGGTGGGCTAGGAGGGAAGAGAGGAGGACGACACGCCATGAGAAGAAATACACTCACAGATACATTCACTACCAAGTGTGACTCCAATACCCATCATCCTTTATTTTGGGCTGTGGTGGCGAGAGATGATGGGAGACCAAAGTTCCTTCCTCCTGCTTCAAAGCCAAAAGGAACAATCCAAGAGGCTTCCCCTTTCCAGAGCGGCCGAGAACACTCCAGGAAAACATCCCTAGGCAAACTTGTCAACTCTCCTGCTCTCATGTCCGCCTTAGCCTCCAACCTTCCCTAAAATGCACAGGCACTTGCGGCGAGGCCATGGTGGCAGTCTAACCCTCGCACCCGGAGGAGAGGCTGCCTCTGAGATAATCTGACAGGTCTTTACGTGGCTGAAATGGGCCTGTAGGAAGCTCGTCCGTGGCAGAGGTAAGCATGTGGTGGTTCTCTGGGCAGATTTTGCTCTGCTAGGCCTGGAACGTGGATCCCACATTAAGGGATGGGCTCCTTTCTGAACCTGGTGCTTAGCAGCCCGTTTCATCGCTCATCACCACAGGGCTGACTATACCAGCCAAAGGCACACCACTTAAACTGAAGACTATTAAGTGAGAGTTTGGAAAAATGGGTGTCACACACAATGCATCCATGTTGTCCTATGTCTGCAGATTCTACACAGAAGTGTCTATTTCGCAGAGCACCCAGGTCTGTCTTCATAGCTTCTTCCAGAAGCACAGCAGGCGTAGGTGGATCTTTGCTCCTTCCCGAAGCCCCACCTCTCCCCCTAAAATAGTTGTTTCTGAAGACAAAAGCTGGACCAACGGAACGCACAGTATTACTTTCACACAAAAATACGAGCGCTGCTTGTACTTCTCTGTTTATTACGGGCCGAGTTCCACATTTCTAAAGCGCTCATAAAAATTAGCTGTCCTTCACCAAAGAAGGGAAGACGCTTTGGGGACGAGAAACTCCATGGCGGCTGTCTGGACACTAGAATGGTCATCTTTCCTAAACTGTCTTTGTACACCAAACGATTGCTGGAGTTATGACCCTGCAAACCCAACATGAAAGCCTCTGAACATGCTGAGAATAAGCTTTCTTGATCACTAGCCCACCCAAGTCCCTTCGGCTGTAACACAATATGGGTCGTAATCACATTACCTACCTACACAGACACCTAAAGACATGTGGTGGTGCATTTTCCATTTCTATAGACAATTGTATACTGCATCTTAAAATATTTACAAATGCTACAGTTTTCAGTAGAGAGGGGAAGTCCTGTAGCTCAGTGAGTGAGCCAGCTCATAGCGACCCCCCCCCCAGGGTCCCCCTTGCTTAGTTTCTCCACGTAGGGGCAGGTCATGCTAGATAGACCCGAAGCCTGCCTTGGTATGAAGCCATATTTATGGCCAGAACTCATGCTTCGCTTTCATAAAGTCCCAGATAAGGTTTCCAGCACCTTTCACTTTAAAGAAGATCTTGGCCCTAAACGTTTTGCTCAGGAAGGAAAAAAAGCCCTCCTGGTCAGAGCAGACGTCCCTGCTTGGTGGAATGATGGGGAGAAAAAGGATTTTGGGGGCCGGCAGGTCTATTCTGTCTTCCTCTCTCTTTCGCTTTGGCTGGGGGGGGGCGGAGGAGATCCTGGCAACCGGCTTGGCCTCCTTCTTTCCTAATATTTCAAGGAAAGGGGGTGGCAGGTTCAGCCAGGGGACACTTTAAAAGAGGCTTAAAGTTTACTCAAGGCAGACAGCAAGTCTAAACAGCCATCCAGGAACAAAGAGGGAGGATCTGGCTGATGGGAGGGCTGAAGCAGAGCCAGGATCGTTAACCCCACTGGATCCCAGAAACAAAAGAGGAGCACCTGATCGACTTGACCCGGGGTTATTACAACCACCATCAGCTCCTCCTCCACCCAGTGACAGTGTACGGTGTTACAAAACCCCAGGGTGGCTATGGACGATGGGCATTGTAGTGTAACACATCTAGAGTGCTGCCAGGTCGGGAGACCCTGGCACTCTTAACCACCATGCGATGCTGGACCTGGTTGCCCTCCTATTTCACTGATCGAGGCAGAGAGGGTCCCCCCCCCCATGTTCTTTTGCCTTCTTTCCAGCCGAGCTGAAACATCCTTCCCATCCCCAATCCTACAAAAACAAGGAGTCCCGGGCTCCACTCCTCATTTCTACTGATACCACTGCCACGCTTGCAGGAAGTACGTATATCACTTGCCCAATAAAAGAGAAAGAGAGGGGTGCGTGTAGATGTAAATACTACGGGGAGGGGCATCAGATCCCTTTTATCCCAAGCAGGAGGCAGACTCTGCCGGAAGACCCAAGGGGACTGGCGAGGAGAGACCCCCCCTCCCTCCTCAGAGGTGATGGAATCCCGTAAGCTTTTTTCAGAGGCCGTTTTGACCTTATATGGGTATTTCAACATGCAGCTCCAATCTTCCTTTGTGGCACAGCTCTGTCCTCCTGCTGCTAGTCCCCCCCTCCAAAAAAACAACAACACTAAAACCTTTATTCGCTTCTTACCAGATACAGCTGCAGTGTTGCTGCTCCCCCCTCCCCAACTGGCTCTCTTGCCTCCTCAAATCCCTCCCCACCCTATCACTATCAACACGGGAAACCAGAGGTTTCCAGATATTTCAGGGAAATTTTATTGTTATTGTTATTGTTATTGTTGTTGTTGTTATTATTATTATTATTATAGCTGCATGCTGCATGCTAAACCAGTATGGTGCAGTGGTTAAAATGACAAGAGTAGGAATCAGGAGACGAGGGTTTGAGTCCTGCTCTCCAGAGGAAACACATGGGGTGGGGGGGACACGGCCCTGGGGAATGGGGCACTGGTCAACCCCACCACCACCACCTTGAAACCTCTATTCAGTTTGCTAGTACTCTTGGCACTTGTTGGGACATCTACCAAATAAGTTGCCTAAATGTTATACAGTGATGAGAACAAGGTCGGATGGTTGCCATGAGGTTGCCACACCTGAACACTACCTCTTTTGGGGGGGATAATAAGGGTTTGGTTTGTCCTTTGAGGTCTCTCCTCCCCACTTTAACCTCACAACACCCTTGTGGTGTAGGAGATCAGTCTGAGAGCAGATGACTAGCTCAAGCTCACCAAGGGCTTATCGTAGCTCAGGCTAAACGTGAATCTGTCAAGCCCTGCTCCAGTTCTCTAACCATTGCACTGAAACAGAGCAATTCTCCATCTTGCCAGCCAGAAGCTTCCCATCCGCCAAGAGTCCTCTCCTTCATGTCTGAGTTCGGGACTAAGGTGGTGAACATAATGTAAGCACAACAGAGCGGAAAAAGCAAGCCCAGGACATTCCGGTAATAACAGCTCTGCCATGGGATACAACCAAGTTGCAAAGAAGAACCAACTGGATGGGGTGGAAGCTGTTCTGGGCAGGTGCAAGCAAGCCGTTAGGGGTAGCTGCCTCTAGGTCTGACATGCATGGAGAAGCCAGTACTGCGTGTTGTAGGAGTGGGACTCCTGGACTGCGACGTGGGCCTCATAAAGTTGTTGTGAGGATCAACTAGGGGTGCAGAAGGAGGAAGAGGCATGGACTCAAGACTTACATTCACAGGAGGGACGGGCAGGGCATAAAAAGAACTCAGTAGCATGCAAAGAAATAGTAAGGCAGGCCAAAACTAGACGGAATGAATTGGGAACACCAGGCCAAAGTTTCCTACACCGTTTAAGAATCTGACCAAAAATTCAGGGGAATATGCCATCAACCCCGGCACCATGAATCCCTGGGGAATTCATCTAGGCCTCTTTGCTCCTGACCTTACGTAATGTACTGTACTTACTAACTTGGTCCCAAAAATCAAGTCACCAAAGTAGCGGACAGATGCTTGCCTAGAAAGGCACTTTTTGGAGGGGGGGGGGGAAGAGAGAAAGCAAAATGCAGAGGCAGAAGGAGAGAGAAGTTGTTCACTTTGCTCCGTGCTAGCAGACTGGCTTGCAAATGAAGTGGAGCAGAGAAAATGCCACCATTCAAACATGCTCTGTTGCTATTCATTACAGCAAATACCAGTAAGAAGGGTTGGAGGAGAGTGCAGGGTGACATCAGAGAGAGAGAGAGAGAGAGAGAGAGAGAGAGAGTGTCCTGGATAACTATGCCCTGCTCCAAATCTTTCCAAAGGGAGTTCCAGAATCGTCCACCAGCTGTAAGAACATGGGGCCTTAAGCAGAGAAGAGGAAGCTGGCTGGTTTTTGTTTTAAAGAGTGCGCTAGAAGTAGTCGTTTAAAGTGGAGGAGGGGGAAAAGAGCCAGCCAGGACTGCAGGAGGGTTCACCATTAAACAATTTGCATCTCAAAACATTTTAAAGCATCTCAAACTTAAAAACAAAGAAAAATGACAGAGGACATGAAAATTGCAACAGTTATTCAATTCAAAACCTCCCAATTTAAAAAGGTGCTCCTATAAAGCCCTAAACAGTTTGGGTTCAAGCTGTTCAAAGACCATTATGAGCCTGCTCGGGCATTAAGGTCATCCGGAGAGCCCCTTACTTTCGGTCCCATCACCCTCACAGGTGGACTTGGTGGGAGGGGGCCTTCTCTTGCTGCTTCCAGACTCTGGAACTCCCTCCCACTGGAGGCCAGGCTGGCCCCATCTTTCCTGAGAGAGGAGGGGGAGGCAACTTTCCTAGGTTGCAAGAAAAACTGGGGACAGGGGGCGGAGGGGGAAGGAAAGGCCACTGGCCCTTTTGGGCTACAGGGTTCTGGAAGTCATACTTCAAAAGAAACAAAGTTTAAAAATGCTAAGAGCATGCAATTGTCTGAATGGGGAAAAAAGATGCAACCCATATAAGTGGAATTTAGCCAAAAAAACCCCACAACCCCTAAATGATTCTGGCCTGGCCATTTAATCTCAGTCTGATCCACCTCACAGGGGCGTTGTGAGGAGGAGGCAGACCATGTGGGTTGCTTTGATGAGGAGGAGGCAGACCATGTGGGTTGCTTCGAGTCTCTTGGAGGACAGGAAGCATTGAACCGTCG